AACTGTGAACACATATATGCCTACTTCCAGGCATTGTCATCTGATGTTTCACTGCTACTGGTTTCTGTGTCTGAGTCCTCAAACTCTGCTTTGCAAGTGCTTCTCTAAGGGGAGAACAGTCTGGAACTGCGGCTTTGGAAGAAGCTGTTCTTCCCAAAGCCATTTCTTCTCAATTGCTCTGCCTTCATGTGGAACTCTTTGAGCTCATCCTCTGTGAGAGGAAGGCAATTCTCATCATTTTCAGGATACTCCTGCCATACCATTGCTTTCAATAACCTGTGCTCTGCTTCCAGAGAGTGTGAGAGGACCTCCTCTTCAGGGAGAGGGAGACCATTCTGATGACAGCCTTCCTCTCCATTTTCCTTTGGTTCAGGTGTACTGTGGTCCTCCATATCCTCCAGCTTGTCACAGTCTCTATTCTCTGAGAAATCCCCATTCCAGTCATCCTTCAGAGTCTTCAGGAACTCGCTTTTCTTGTCTGTAGTTCGGTGGGTCAACTTAGTCAGAGGAGAGGAACTGATCTCAATGGGAGGAGTGGTGCTGGAGGGGCTCTCTTTGGGAGAGCTTAAAACTGCACCATCAGCCAGTAGTACTGGGTTGGTAACAGAGATTGGACTGGTAAAAGCAGACACCTGTCTAGACGAAAGGGATCCTAATGTGTGTTCCATTCTGTTAGCTTTCCATGCACTGGGCTTGGAAGGAGGTGGTGCAGGCTCAGGAACCAGGTTCCTATGGACACTTGGAACCACGTTGGACGATTTGTTCCCATTTGCATGGTGAGATCCTGGTGAGGTGTGCAGCAGAGAAGGCAGCAGCAGGATCTTCTTTGGAAACTTTTTTGATGACTGGCATTTTTGGAGGTTTGTTTGGCACCACTCCAGAAAGAGTCCCAATAGGTCTGCATGGCTGATTCTATTTGCCAGCTTCTGGATTCAAAGAAAAAAAGTCTCCCACCCTGGCCGGTATGTCTCAGTGGTTAGAGCATCGGCCTGTGGACTGGAGAGTCCTTCGTTCGGTTCCCGCTAAGGGCACGTACCTCAGTTGCAGTTTGTCCCCTGGCCCCGGTTGGGGTCGTGTGGGTGGCAACCACTTGATGTCTCTCTCACATCGATGTTTCTATCTCTCCCCTCCTCTCTCCCTCCCTCCCTCCCACTCTACCTGAAGATAAATGCAAAAATGTCCTTGGGTGAGGATAAAAAAATAATAATAATAATAGTAAAAAAGAAAATATTTCTTTTCAAACTGCAACTTTTCCACCCTGTTTTTTCTTTTCTTCCCTAATTTCTGTAGGTGGCTTTTCCTGAAAGGCATAGCTTTTCCGGGAGTGAAAGCTGCCATTCCAGTGGTGACAGTTCCCTGTGCCACCCCACTGTGCTGACTTATGCCATCATGACCTTGGGAAGAGCCATGCCAACCAGATAGATTCCCTGTGATTTCAGGATATGCTCCCTTAGAGACACCAGAGTCCACAGACATGGTGAAACAGGGAGGACGGTGCCAGGAATCTTTTGTAGTTCATAGAGGTCCATTGTTAAAAGAGCCGTCAGAGGAATTATGTCAACCACGGCTTATTCCAAATCTACCATCTCCTCAGGGTAGGTGCTTTCTGTGTTTTTCAGAGGTAGCTGTGGGTGACTTAACTGCTTGTGGTGTTGAGAAACTTAGCCAAGCAGGAACAAAGTCATGCTGCACCATTTAGGTCCAGTGTCTCTTTTCAGCAAGGTGTGACATCCAACCTCATGGCCAGGATCCCAGAGAGTAAACTCTGTTGTCCTGTTTCCTGAATTTCTTGAGTCAGCCAGCTGATTTCCCACGAGGTGCTCGTTAGAAGTGTGCTTAATAAGGCTGGTCAGTAGCACACCTTATGATGAAGCACAAAGAAGTCAAGCTCTGTGTGGATCACTCTCTCAGTCCCCTCAATTGCTCATCTTAAACTACATAGTTCCCTCCAAAAGGGAAAAGGGGGAAGGAGAAAGACAAAGAGGAAGATAAAAAAAAGTATTTTTTACACTTAACAATGGGGAAGGATAAAGATGTATGTCTATGTTCACCTCACTCATCTTCTTTGATATTGTTGAAATATATGGACATTTGCACAGTGAGTACAAACACTGTTCATAATAAGGTCATAACTAGAAAGACAGGTGGAGTTGCATGGGCAAATAATGTCATCTAAATGACAGATCAAAAATATAATATTAAAGAACTATAAAAGATCTTCTGAGCACTCAACTCCAGTGGCAAAACATCCACATGAAAAAGCCCTTAATTTACAAATCTCATTATTCTTACACAGCTGCAAAAAATAGTGTACAGATTTGTAGTTATATTTGTTTTATCCTTCAAAATCTAAGGATATAAGAAATCTGAAAGGTTGTGGGTTCGATTCTCAGTCACGGCACATACCTAGATTGTGTGTTTGGTCCCCAGTTGGGGTGCATGCAAGAGACAACCAATTGATGTTTCTCTCTCACTGATGTTTTTCTCTCTCACCCTTCCTCTCTCTAAATATATCCTTAGATATATATATCCTCTCAGTAAATATATCCTTGAGTGACAATAAAACAAAAAACAAAAAACCAAGTTTATTGGTACATGGAACAACACAGATGAATCTCAAATGCACTGTGCTAAATAAAAGATACAAGATTCATAAGATTATATACTGTACTATTCCATATATATGACTTTATAGAAAAGGGAAACCTATAGGCATGAAGAATAAATAGTGGCTGCCAGAGGGTAAGAGTGATGAGAGAACTTGACTTCAAAAGAATAGCATAAAAAAAATTTGGGGGGCAGTGATGAAATCAGTTCTGTATTTGACTATGGTGGTGGTTACGCAGATCTATGCATTTGTCAAAATGTATAAAATGGCAACAAATAGAGTGAATGTTGGTATATATAAATTAAAAAGTAAATTAAAAATTTAAATCTCAATAAATTATATCTGACATGGTTTTACTTAAACATTTGCATTTCTTTTCATTCTCCTAGTGGACTTTTTAATGACAACATTCATTTGCATTTTATTTTTTATTATATTACTGGTTAGTTCTTATTTTCTTTTTAATCTTCACCTAATAATTTAAAAAAATCAACTTTTAGAGAGAGAGGAAGGAAGAAAGAAGGACTGAGAGAAACATCTACATAAGAATCATCGAGGTCCCATCAGGCTCGAACTCACAACCTTTCGGTGTACTGGGCAATTCTCCAACCAACTGAGTCATGGAGCCAGGGCTATTACTGGTCAGTTCTAGAGTCCATTTAAAAATTTTCTTTTTATTGGTTTAAAGATAACTTTATTTAGTTAATATATATTTTTCTCTCTCTCAAATAATAAAAATATAAATGTCTGGTTTTATTTTCTTTTAGTATTTTAAAACTAAAATTGAGTTATTTTCTAGAGTAAAATGTATCAGATATTAAATTTATGGTTTCTATCTTTGGTGTCACAACTTCCCCATCTCAACTTATTTCATTAATTTTTTAAACTTAGTGGTTTAAATATGTCAAATCTTGAATCCATGTGAATTTTATCACATATAATTTATGGATATAACCTTTATTTCAGATTGCTGGGAATGACTTTCTGTTTGGAATACTCTATTCTTTCTTTCATTGTTTTGAAATGCTACATTACACTAGATTTAAAAAAATAACCATGGCCCAGTTGGTGTGGCTCAGTGGTTGAGCATCAACCCATGCACCAAGAGGTTGCCAGTTGGATTCCCAGTTAGGGCACATGCCCAGGTTGTGGGCCAGATCCCCAATGGGGGGCATGCAGGAGGTGGCCAATTGATGTTCTTGCTCACTGATGTTTTGATCTCTCTCTTTCTCTCTCTCTAAAAATCAATAAAGAAAATATTTTTTAAATAAATATGGCCACAGTGTTTCCATTAAGCAGATGCCAAACTATTTTGAATAATAGAGGAATTTATACATATTAATACTTCTTAGGCATTTTTCTCCTTTTTAAAATATTTTCTGGCTGTTAATTCAGTTTTCTATTTATTTCAGATGACATTAAGAATGCTTTTATATAGTCCTCAATATATTAAAAATCAAAGAGAAAAATTACATACAAGAATTCGTTTAGATTCTTATTGTAATTTTGTCAGACAATATTGATCTTTCTATGAAACGGTGTATCTCCATTAATTCAAATAATTTTGTCACAGATGAAAGAATATGTATATATAAATAAATAAAAATATTTTCTTTTTGATTGTGTCTCTTTCCTGACTTATCTACAATGTTCGTTTATTGCTTTCACGATTTTGATGAACTAGCTTTCTGTCTAAATCGCACACTGTCTGCACAAAGACTCAGCTGTAAGCCACGACTTTCTGAGCCGCGGCCGGATCCAGGGAGCTCCCTCCTACACCTCCCAAGGCTCCGCGAGGTTGCACCTCTCCGCCAATCCCGAAAGGCTGGAGCACAGACTGGAGGGAAAGGCAGTCCCGGCGGCGGGCGGCCTTCTGCGCATGCCTAGTACCGCCTTCTATCTCTTGGCACTTTCGCCTTTTGCTTGTCTCAGGCCTCGCGTGGGAGGCGGTTCCGGGGCCGCCGAGTCTCTGCGATCTCTGTGGCCAGTGTCACATGAGTAGGGAGCCGCGGGTGGACGCTGGAGGTTTGGGCGGGAACGGAGGCGGGCTCGCCCACTTGCGGGGAGGCTCTTGGTGACCGGCGGTGGGAGGAGCTGCGTGGGCCCCCTCGGTGGCAGGACTGGGCGTCTCTGTGGGGACATGAACCTGGACCCCCCCCCCCCCCCCGCACTTGCCCATTCTCTGCACGGAGCGGGGAGGACGCCGTCCGCAGCCCGGTTCTCTGGGCCGCAGGAGGGCGTGACGGGCGCGTCCGGTCCGTGGGGTGGGGGCGGTATTGCGGGAGGAGTGTGTGCGCGTGCCTGACGCGTGACTTGTGTGGCGTGGTTTTGGGGTGCAAGCCTCGCCAGCGGCCGCAGCTTGTCCCTTATCGTTCCTCTCCAGGCGGACAGTGCCCTTGGTTTTCCACTTGTCTGGATTCCGAAGTGCTCGCCCGTCCCTGCATCTTGATATATGCTGTTCCTCTGTCCTGACTTGCCCCGGCATCCAGGAAGAATATTTCAAGAATTACCTGTTTTTGTCTCATTTGAAAAAAGTTGTTTTTCTTCTGAAGGTTAGTGACTTACTCAGGACGACAGTATTGTTCGTGGAGAAACCCAGTACTATTTTCACGCAACTATAAGAAGTTTCATATAAAAACATCCTTTTGAGAAATGGCAACAAAGATGAATTAAAACATAGACCTTTCCTTAAAGCACTGCTTTTTATAGCTTTCTTTGAAGTCACTAAAAATTTAGTAACGTTAGTAGGAACGTTGGTAAACAGCTTAGTCCTCAGTACTTTTTACAACAATTTTGATGAAGGGTTAATATTTCTTCATTAGGTGTTTGATTTGTTTTAATCAGGTTTGTCATTAAAACTTTTTTTTTTTGTGAACACCAAGGGAGATTTAATATTAAAAAATACATGGGAAGCAAATATTTATATTAACCCAGTAAACATTTTTTGCCCCAAAGCTATATGGTCATATTAGAGTCAAATGGGTATTCTTTCACCAATTCCCTGTACCTTCTGAAGGTCAAAGGGATGCTGGCATTCTTCCTATTTACTGGGGTTGTGTAGCTTTTAGGGCAGAAGAATTCAGGAGCTGCCAGGCAGGCCAGATCTTTCATGACCCAATTTTTCTTTTTGTAACCCAGGGTGTCTTCAGGGTTGTCTACATTTTCCCAAGAACACCAGAAAATGAATAAATCCCAGGTAAGTTGTTTGTCTCCACTTTATTTTACAATAGGCTTTGTGTGATTTCTAAGAGTCCATATGTTAAGATGGGAAATTAGTAATAGATAAAAATCAAACTACCCAGAAAATGTAAAGTAACAGATTAGTAGCAGGGCCATATTGGCTTGTAGATTTATACTGATGGTTAATATATATTAGAGTTTCTAAGTTAACTTGCAAGTATATCTCTGATGTTTCTAATGACCATGATAGAAAGGGAGACACTTGGATACAGACAAATTCTGTTCAAGACACAAAGACTTAGTAGTGGAGATGTAGTTTTTAACCTTAATACAGGGTCACATAGTGAATAACCTTCCAGTGACAGCCCTGAAATGAGTGCCTGAAACTTCCCCACTGGAAGTAAAAGGGTCCAAGAGGTGGCTCAAACAATCAGTTTTACGATGGTCTTGTTTGTTCCTGCTATAAAACCTAGTATGTTTAGAGGAGTAAATGGTCTGCATGCCTGTTACAAAAACTCTCCATAACTGTTTCGTCTTAGCTAGGCTGTGTATATAAGGTGTGCAGCAGGTAGTTAAAAGGTTAAGTTCTTTAATAAATGTTTCTGAGTTTCTCAAGTTAAATTGCATCCCGTAGCATTTTGGTTCTTCCCCTCCACTTTTTAGAATCTATCCAGGTAAAGGTCACCAATGACTTAATTGTAGTCGTTGTAACTCAGGAGAGTCAACCTCACTCGGACACAAAGTTGGGTGAATTAGAGGTGAGCTTTATTACCTGTGCAGGGACTGCAGCCAACCTACACAGAGGAGAACTGCAGCCCCGAGCTCAGGGGGAGAGTTGCTTATATAGGACAGGGGTCATTCAAGAGTTTAGCAGAGCAAGCAAGCTGGGTGTACAGAAGCGGAGGCAGTTAGCAATAAGCAGGAGGGAACAGAGATGGGAGGGAGCTGAGGCGAAAGGGAACTGGGTGAACTGGGTCAGCATACATCTATCCTGCTATCCTTTCTATTATCTAAGTTTTAAAAACTAACAAATTCGAGATGGATATCAGTGGTTATCCAGGTGCAATACATATATTTTTAACAGTTACAGTTTTATGGGGTAAAGGGAACTTCAGTTTCTCCCTATCAGTTTATTTACAGAGCATGCAGGACACTCTGGCCTTGGGGCCATTTCTGTCCTCCCTTTTTCTGAAGGATGTTGCTTTTCAAATTCCCAGTGAAGGTCAAACTCTGGTTAATTTTTATGGGGTAAAGCCATCTATAACAGTAGTTGCCTAACTTGAACAACTGCTACATTACCCTACTTGACTACTCTCTCCTGGGAAGTCTCCTTTGTCTTCTTCTCATATTTCTGATGGCTCTTTTTTTGGAGTCTTCCTCATTGTGTCTCTAGTTTAGTTCTAAGTTTTCATCCTTTGTCCACTAATCTTCTCATTTTATCTATATATGGTATATATATATATATATATATATGTAGTTGAACAATACTGTTTATTGTTTTGGGTGCTTTTAAAAATATGTAAATTGCCCTGGCTGGTTTGGCTCAGCAGTTAGAGCGTTGGCCCGTGGACCAGATAGTCCCAGGTTTGGTTCCCGCTAAGGGCATGTATCTCGGTTGCAGTTTGTCCCCGGACATGGTTGGGGTTATGTGGGTGGCAGCCACTCGATGTGTCTTTCTCACTTCGATGTTTCTCTCTCACTCTTCCTCCCTCTCTCCCCTCTGCTCTGTCTGAAGATAAATGCAAAGAATGTCCTTGGGCGAGGATAAAAAAAAAAAAACCCTCATCCTCCCCTTGCGACTCTAGAAAAATTCCTTAAAAAAAAAGTAAATTATCTTAATGGATATATGATACACATTTGCCCCTAACTCATCATTGAATAGCAACACTATATTCCAAATACTATATTTTATTGGTAGACACTTAAGTAATTTCTATCTTTCATTAATGTAAATAATGCTGCTATGAATATCCTTTTCATTCTTTGCACAAACGCAAATGTATCTCCAGACTCTAAAACAGTGCTTCTCAAAGTGACGTTTTTTTGATCAGAAGCAGCAGCATAATCTGGAAGCTTGTTTGAAGTGCACATTCCTATGTCCCATTCTAAACTTTATGGAAGAGAAATTCTGGAATGAGGCCCAGCAATCATGTTTTAATAGGACATCCATGTGATGCTGACATCTACTAAGTTTGAGAATTGCTCTAGAGTTTTATGATTAATATTTTTGAATTGTAGAATATGAGGACTTCCAGTTTTTATAGGTATATTATTATCAATTAGAAGACTACTTTTCCTTCTTCCTTTTCAGCTGTACAAAATTATTTCTTCGCTAATGTGTGAAAAACTCCACTGTTTAATTTTCATGTGTCTATCATTTAGGTTGTGAAGCTTTTATAAATTTATTGCTTTTCAGGTTGTTTTCTACTGAGTTTTGTAAGAATTCTCTATTTTAAATGGCAGTTTTTTTGTTATAAGTGTTACTTTTCTCAGTATGCTTTTTGTCTTTTCACTTTATGGTATGCTTTCTGAAACTTTTATATTGTGGTACAACCCTCTTGTGTCTTCTGTTTTTTATTGTTTTTCTTACCCCATGGGCCTAATGAAAATTTTCAATATTTTATCTAAAAATACCAAATTTGTTTTAATATTTAGTACCCTAATCCATCTGGATTTTTAAAACAGATGTGATGAAAGGATCTAATTTTATATTTGTCCACCTGTAAAAAATAAGCAGCACAGTAAAAGGATAACACTTACTGACTTAGGACTAATGAAATAGATCTGAGTAGAAATACCTATCATGATTTTTCATTATGCATGCTGCTGGTTTGGGAATGAGGTGGATACGTTTTTTCATGTTCACAAAATATCCATCAAGTCTTATTTTATTAAAAAGGAGAGTTTAATATTTCCATATGCCTATTTAACATTTTATGGGGATGATGATACAACTTTTCTCTTTGGATTTATTGAATTATATTTCCGCATTTCTCATATTTGTGTTCTAAAACAAACACCACTCATTCAAAAAGCATTATTCTCTTAAGGATCTGCATAATTCTGTTTGTCAGTATTTTTTTGCATAAACTTATCCATTGTATTGTTGTCATTTTATTTATTTATTTAATTTTATATTTGTCATAGATGTTTCTCCTTTTATACCCCATTGACACCCTCCTCCCCATCCCCCTGCCCCATCCCCGGCTTTGTTGTCCATGTCCATTGGTTATGCGTACATGCATATAAGTTCTGTGGTTTATCTCTTCCCTTCCTTCACCACCCCCTCTTCTGAGGGTTCTCAGTCAGTACCCTACTTCCATGTTTCTGGGTCTACCCTATTCCTCAGACTGTTATGTTCGTTATATTTCACAAATAAGTGAGATCATGTGGTATTTGCCTTGGCTTGTTTCACTTAGGATAATACTTTCAAGGTACCTCCATGTCGTCTCAAAGGATAAGAGATCTTTCTTTCTTACAGCTGCATAGTACTCCATTGTGTATATGTACCACAGCTTTTTTATCCATTTGTCTACTGATGGACACTTGGGCTATTTCCAGATCTTAGCTATTGTAAATAGTGCTGCTATGAACATGGGGGTACATATATTCTTTGATTGGTGTTTCAGGCTTCTTAGGGTATATTACTAGAAGTGGAATCACTGGGTCAAATGGCAGTTCAATTTTTAGTTTTTTGAGGTAACAACATATGCTTTTACATAGTGGCTGCACCAGTCTGCATTCCCACCAGCAGTGTACTAGCGTCCCCTTTTCTCCACACCATGGCCAACACTTGTTTGATGATTTGTTGATGGTGGCCACTCTGACAGGTGTGAGGTGATACCTCATTGTTGTTTTAATTTGCATCTCTGTGATGATCAGTGATGTTGAGCATTTCTTCATTTATCTCTTGGCCATTTGTATGTCCTGTTTGGAGAGGTGTCTATTCAGCTCCTCTGCCCGTTTTTTAATTGGGTTCTTTTTCTTCCTTTTGTTGAGTTGTATGAGTACTCTATATATTTTGGCAATTAACCCCTTATCTGATATATCATTGGCAATGATGTTCTCCCATACAGTGGGTTGCCTTTCCATTTTGATGGTTGTTTCTTTTGCTGTGCAGAAGCTCTTTACTTTGATGTAGTCCCATGTGTTCATTTTTTCCTTTTTTTCTGTTGCCTTAGGTACGTATCAGTAAAAATTCTGCTGCGTGTGATGTCTGAAATTCTGTTGCCTACATTTTCTTCTAGAATTTTTATGGATTCATGAGTCACATTTAAGTCTTTGATCCGTTTTGAGTTTATTTTTGTGTATGTGGTAAGTTGATGGTCTAGTTTCATTTTTTTTTTCATGTAGCTGTCCAATTTTTCCACACCATTTATTAAAGAGGCTGTCTTTACTCCATTGTATGCTCTTGCCTCCTTTCTTAAATACTGATTGAGCATAGTGTCTTGGGTCCATTTCTGGGTTCTCTATTCTATGCCACTGGTCTATATGCCTGTTCTTGTGCCAGTACCCAACTGTTTTGATTGCAGTCTTTTTGTAGTATAACATGATATCTGGTATTGTCCTCTCACCTACTTTGTCCTTTTTCAAGACTGCTGTGGCTATTCGAGGTCTTTTTTGGTTCCATATAAATTTTTAAGTATTTGTTCTAGTTCTGTGAAATATGTCGTTGGTATTTTGATGGGGACTGCATTGAATCTATAGATTGCTTTGGGTAATATGGACATTTTAATGATGTTAATTCTTTCAATCCATGAACAAGGTATGTGCTTCCACTTTTTTATATCTTCCTCTATTTCTTTTTCCCATTACCTGTAGTTTTCTGCAAATAAGTGCTTTACTTCTTTGGTTAAGTTTATTCCTAGGTATTTTAATTTTTTTGCCACAATGGTAAATGGGATTGTTTTTTCAGTTTCTCTTTCTGTGAGTTCATCATTGGTGTATAAGAATGCCATTGATTTCTTGACGTTAATTTTGTATCTTGCTACTTTGCCAAATGCATGTATTAAGTCT